TATATTGATATTACATCTTAATTTAGTTGGTACGTTGTTAAATTTATAAATAAAAGTCTCAAATGTTTTTATTCTTGTGACTGTTTCATATGCTTTTACACTCCGTATTTGAGTTTTTTTTTCAAAAGGAGAGTTTGTTAGGTTTTAAAGTTCTAGGCAATCTTTGGACAAAACTATTGTTGTAAAAGAGTTTTTAAAAGTCAAAGTGTCAAGTGGTTAGTTAGAAATCCTAGAGTTCGAGTATGGAATGAGAAGAAAAAAGTCGCCGCAATTTCACTAGCATATCGCCTAGCTGATGCTCAAGTGGTAAAAGCAGAAGCTATATCGTCTGCCTGTCTCCTGGGCTTCGTTCGAGCGAGACATCATCGCTCGCCTGTCGCTGAGATGTCGCTCGAGTAACAGTGTATTCGGGGAAAACCTAATTCACGTTTTTCAAGATTTTTATCCGGCATATACTATCCAAAACATCTACATTATATATATGCATGCCACCGTTCGAAAAAACGTGAGTTGAACATTGAGAGAAACAAGAAATTGATTCTTCCATATTATTCTTAGAGTTCAACCTTTATATTGAGTTCATCATTGCATTGAAAAACATCAACCCCACATTAAGCAAACACCAAACCACTTACATCCATAACATCTGTCAGAGTTCTGAAGATCAAGGAATGTGATTGAAGTTTCTAGTTCTTGGAGAACGAGGAGTTCTCATTAATCCACAGAAGATAGACGAATTTAGAAGGTCAGGAGTTGGTGCAGGAGCACACAATCCAGGAGGGCTATGGTAATTATAGTCAGGAGGTCAGAGATTACTAGAGTTTTTCGAGTTTGATAGTATTGTAAGTTAATTCATTTATAATGGATTGTTACTAACTTGGGCCCGAAGTTTTTACCCTTACGGATTTTCTCCGTCAACAATTTTCAAGTGTTATTTATTTTTTAGTATTTTATTAACTAAGGTAATTCAACGTAGAATAGTTGTTCAAGTGAATTCATCTGAATTAATTAATAACTGTAACTTGTTTCAATTATTATTTGGTAAATTTAAATTTCGTATATACACCTATTCACCTCCTTCTAGGTGTTAGTTGGGCCGAACTAGTAACTTTTAGAACTAATGCAAACAATATAATTGTGAAAGTTCAATCCAAACCAATGATCTATGCCCTCCGTTACCAAGCTCTTCGTCACGAGAAAAGTCTTTTCACTATATTTATTAATTTATGGTGCAATCCAAACCCTTATAATGCTTCTAGTAACTTACAAATAAGAAGCACCGATTTTTATACGATATTGAAATTTTAAGGGATCTTAAGATGATCTACATGTTAACTTACAATAAGGAGCACCGATCCTTATACTATTGAGTTTTCAAGGTACTTCAATATGATCCCACAAGTTTACAGAAATGGTTTTACAATGAATACACATCTATCAATAAATTATATAAATAATAAGTATTAAGAGAGACTAACACTTCAATGAATAGCAATAAACAATAGTTCAAGTGTTAAATAAAAAACTTTGATGAATATGCTAATTGTAAATTTTAATTCAATCAATCAAAATTTTTGATATAAGGAAGTAAAACAAATAAATTCTATGTAATTTTAAATATTTTGCTCAAAAATCCTTATTTCTTTTATAAATAATAGCAATAAATTAAGTACCAAAAGTGAGATGAGAAATTTTGATGAATATAATGATTTAACAAGTTTGATTCAATCAATCAGAATTTTACATATGAAGAAGTTGAAGAAATGAATGTGATATAAGTTCAAAGATTTTCTCAAAATATATTTTCCTTTTATGAATAATAGCAATAAGATAAGTATCAAGGGAGTGATGAAAAACTTTGATGAATATAATAATTTTAGAATTTGATTCAATCAATCAAAGTTTTTCAATATGAAAAAGTAGAAGAGATAAATGCTATGTAAACTCAAAGATTTGCTCTACATATTTTTCTCTTTTATGCACTTGAAAGGTCTTACATTGAATGCAAAAAGAGAACCAATTTATAGAGAAAACTTCGCAAAACTTTCTAGGAGTTCAAATAATGGTTCAATCGATCGGAACAATATGGTCGTTGGATAGAGAAGGAATTGTCAAATTTCAAACCGTTATATTTTCGATCGACCTAATGATCCGTTTGTCGATCGCTGCCAGGTCTAATCAGTTGACCTCCAGTTCTCGACTGGTACGATCAATTTTCTCATTTTGGCCCCTTTTGATCCGATTCGAATATTTTGAAAAGCGTGAATTTTTGGAAAGTGTTTTCACCTAGCTTTTCAAGGTAAATGATATTTTTAAAATTATGAACTAAGGCTATGTTTGATTGTGCAAAATTTTCCATGAAAAATGGAAAACCAATTCCAACTTCCACTTTTGCAATGTTTGATAGCAATAATTTTCCTTGGAAATGGTTTTCTTCGTTTCCCTCACACAAGCACAATTTCCATGGTTTTGTTAAAAATGAATTCCCTCCAGGTTATCCTTTTTTTTTTTATTTTTTTTTTTCGCAATTGGAAAAAATTTTAGACACAATGATGAAAAATTTATCACTTTTATTAACAATTTCCATACAAAATGAAGTCAAACGAATAGTATCGATATGGTAATTTTTTTTTTTTTTTTGTTGCAATGGGAACAAATTCTAGACCAAATGGTAAAAGAAATTATCAATTTAATGGACAATTTTCATGAAAAACAAAGTCAAACGGACACCAAACTTTCAACATTTTCTAGGTGGAAAACTATACCAATCAAACACATTTAATTACAATTCTCAGTAAAACAAATTTTAGACAATTCAATTTCCTGTAATTAATTTTCTTTCCACTCAAATTCCGCATTTACAATCAAACGGACCATAAGTTCAAATATCATTTTCAAAATTACTTTTATCTTTGATCAAAACATTTTATGTAAATGATAATCAAAATAGTTTTTAGTGAACAAAATGTTTTTAAACTTTTATGGTTCATTACTAAAAATCAAAGTTTTAGTACATTTACATTTGGTCTAAAAAGACATTTCTTTGAAATTTGGTTCTTAGCCTCTCGTCTTGATCTTTTCTTTTCTATTTTTTGAAGTTCGGCTTTTAAACTCTAATCTTGAAATTTCTTTGAAGTTGGCTCTTAACTCTTGTTGAATGATCTTGTCTTGGATGTTTGAAAGATTTAAATTCGATCTTAACCTTCATTGTGCGCCAATTTGATTGTCTTGATTTTGATATTTTGACGGCGATCAATCGATCTATCATTGGATGCTTTGAATACTATGATCACTAAAATTCAATTGTTAGTAAACAATATTAACTTGTTTGTTATAATCAAAATTTTAAAATTATAATCAATCACAGGTCGACAGTAGCATGCTTGTCGTGTGTATGCACCCGGAGATGGGTGCAGCTGTGATAACAACGCTCATCACCGTTCTTTTGCTGCACCCGCTACTACAAGAGCGGCAGTGATGTCACGTTGTTATTCGCTGCAATGTGCTTCCACTATACGCACCACATGGTGCTAGCTACAGTGTTAGATGATGATATTTGATGGATATAATGGTTGTTGGTATGATTTTTGTGTCTGTATAGTGCGATCTGGGTGGTGGTGATGGTTGTTGGTGCAAGATGTGGAGATTGTAGTGGTGCGGCTGTCGCGGCGACGATGGTGGTGGTGATTTGTGGTGTCAAGCGAAGATAGAATTTTGGGTGGTGTCAACAATGATGGAGTGTGGGTAAGGTCAGGTGGAGTAGATGAAGGGTAATTTGTGATAAGATTATTGGATTATTGTGACAAGTTAATTTGGTAATATGTGACCAATAAATAAATTATAATCATTTAATTTGGTAATTTGTGACAGCTAAATAAATTGTGACCAATTAATTCGATAATTTGTAACTAATACATAAGTTGTGACCAAATAATTTTATAATTTATGATTAATAAATAAATTATAACTCATAAAAATGTGTGATTTGTGACTAAATATATAATTGTAATCCAAGTTTTGTATTTTTGTGATTGTGACATTTTGTGATTGTCACTAACACGTAATTGTTATCATAAATTATATGTTATTGTGATCTTAACTTATTTAATTATCTATTTAATTAATATCATCTGATTTTTGAAAGAATTTCATAAATTTGTCAAGTTTGAAATGTTGATAGTCATTTATTTTTCTCATTTGTATATCCATCCCAAGAGTGTACCAGGACAAGCACTAAAGCAAGTAGAGTGTGCACAAAACCAACGAATGAAGTGATAGTGTCCAACAAGCTATTGGCTGGAGAAAAGTACCGCCGAAGTCAAAAAATTATTCAGCAAATACTAAGATAACACAGATTTTGAAGCAATGCTTAATTGATAGACCGCTCAACAGGAATTTTCAAACTCAAACTTGAGTCTCTCCTATGGACCACCTCATTGGCTATGTAGCTAATCATTCTTTCGTTTATGTGCGGGAGTTGGTGTGTCTTTTATTTTTCCTATTTTTATTTCTATTGCTAATTGTTTTTATTTCAAAATCCTACCCAAAATAAAAACATTAAATTTTCAATCCCAAATCCTAAAATAATAGGGTAAATTCCTTCTGGGGGTGATGGTACAACCCTAAACATCTCTAGATTTGGATAGCATAAATGGGAGTAATGGTGGTGAGATGGGGTTTCGATCGGGTGATTGTGGTGAAGGTGAAGGTGGACATAAACGTGAACGTGGTGAAATTTTTCAAGACACATTTCTGTTTTCACTACTAACATAATATGAGTTAATCGCTAAAAGAAAATTGTTAAAACATATATATTCACCACTTATTTTCACGTAATAAGAATACAACACAAAAATTCCCAAATCTAATTTATACACGCCTTTTGACTATGATCCCGATCAAGGACATACTGTTTCTTTTAATAATGTGCGAAAGTTATCAGTGAAGGACCTGATGATGCTAAGCTCGAAGGAGCCAGCCACAGTAGCAATCTACAAACCTCACGAACCATGGATATCTATCCACAGCAACTGGAGCTCAATTTCGCCACACTCAACATTTCTAAGTCTCAACAACATATGTTGGATTACTTTGTCATTTTCCCAGATTATAGAACTTTCTTCGGCTATGCAGTTTTCTTGGGTTGGTTTTATTTTTGCGATTATGAATCCACTTGGGATATTTTGCAAGTCCATCTTTGCAGCTTCTACAAATGTTTTAATGTCAATTTCTGCATCTCCCATTTTGTCATCTAGACTGAACGTATCTTTATCGTAAACTTCCTACAATGAAATAAACAGATTAACAGAAGAATCGTGAGGGGTTAAGCCCATATCCCTACTTACTAGAGCTGCAATAAATAGACTGGATTTGAAAACAAGCAACACAAACACGCGTATCTAGAGGGGGGATTCAAATTTAGTCTGCTGCTGGTGGTGGTTTTCAGAGAAATGGAGAAGAAAAATTTAAGTTCCACCCCCCCTCCCCCACGTCTTTCACACACAAAACTAACCCCCTAAAATCCTTCATATAGTAGCAATATAAGTGCAACTTAACATATATGGAATGGCACTATACCCCTCTAATATCACAGTGTCCATCAAGACATAAAATCTCACGTCTAAAAATGAAAACATAAACCAATTTATAAGAGTTTGGACTACTCTTAATAAAATTGACATTTTAAGATGGAACTCAAATCTTAACATGGTATCAGAGCCCGTTAAACTTCGACGAGCAATTCGATCCGATTAAGAATTAAAAAAAATTGAGCACATGGATTTCAAAATCGGTCTGCTCAAATGAGCCACCATCTTGCGGGGGAATGTCAAGAGATAAAATCTCATGTCGAATAAAGATGAAAGCATCGACCAATTTATAAGAGTTTTGGCTAATCCTCTTAATAACGTTAACCTTTTAAAATGAAACTTCAAATCTTAACAGTGTCAAGGAGATAAGTTAACAGTATAATTAGGCTCTACACCGTCCAAACAAGAATCATTATGAATATTGTAGAATTACGAGTTCGATTACCAACATTTATCTTTTTCTAGTCATTACTAAATTATCTACACACAATAAAAGTTCCATATGTTTTTTGAAGACTTTCAGGTAAAATACGAAGGGGACAAGCTAAAAAATTAGGATGATCCAGATTGTATTATGCTAAGAGTTGAATATTTAGTTATGCTAAATGCTAATTCAGAGCATGTTTGGCTAAACTTAAAATCCAATTAAAATTGAAAATATAGCCGTTATTGGGTCTCACTCGTCCAATAAAAGTCAACAATAACGGCTAATTTTATGATGCAAATAAATAAACAAAACAAAACTTACCAACTTGATTGGAAGATTACGATCAGCAATCATTAGCGTCAGTTCCTCGTTCCACTCAGGATTGAGGCTCTTTCTCACAACTCGAGTCTTTAATTTCTGATCAAATAATTACATTTAATTAAATTAGCATTAGGCTCCAATAGCTATATTCACATAAACATTAACAGAAGTAAAAAAGCCAAAAATAAACATAGGTGTAAAATAGGAATTTCTAATTCAATCCAACAAGCCAGTTTACCAGCAATACCAATACAAGAAAAATCAACTACAAGAAAGTACCGATTTTAATGTGGCAAACCCCTCCAAGATGAAGGGAAACATCCACGGGCCGAACAAACCAAATCCGCCATCAATATACTCAATATTCTATACATCAGAAACTTCAATAATTTCATAAAATAGACGTGACTCCATAATCTATTCTGGGAAAAGAATTATAAAAAGAAAAGGTTTACTATTTTCAATTACCTCAAAACAAAGCAGATTCTAACGGAGTGGATTACGTGTGGTAAAGAGAAAAGAAAGGAAACTCAAATGAATTATTAATGTTTATTTCCTCACACGCTAAGCATTTTTCCCCCCTTTTTTTGGTTGAAGTACAATGATTCCTCGAATTAAGTAAAGAAAATGGCATGCTGGTAAGGTGGAGTGGATAGTATAATCGACAATATTAACAGTTGTTGAAGAAAAACATCGTAAAACACCTAGCTATGCTTTTGCCCATTAATCTAAAGCTAAGCAAAATTAGGAAGAGATCATTGGACCTCCAAACTAAAGAAAAAAAAGAAAAGAACATTGGAAACTTCCGAGACCACATCACATAATAAAGTTCACTCGATAGAGTTATGCTTTTCAATAAAATTGTTTACATCTCATAACAAAATCAGAGCATTTTCAACTGCCCAAAATCTCTATTTACATTTAGGGTCTGTTTGATAGGACTCAATTGGATAATCAACCCATAAATAGAGAGGATACAAAAACAAGAAACATCCACATTATCAAAAAACATAATCTGTCCAATATCTCTCTCCGTATATCAAGAGCTCGTTGGATATACAATAGTGAACTCAACTCGAATAGAGATTATAACTTAACAATCAATATGTTGGACAAAATTAGTTGCAGATACTTTTCAACAACAACAATTAAAATGGAGAAGAAAACTTCTTGTCCAATTGAGATTTGTACCAGTACGATGTCCTAAAGTAAAATTGCCCTCTGTAAACTGTTATGAACTCTTTGAATAATCACTCCCAAGATACAGCGATCGAGTCACTTGTGCAGTAATCACAAGCAATTTCCAGAACTCTTAATAGTGCTCTAGAACAATATTTCAAAATAAAATAAAAAATTAAACGAGTTTTTTTAGAAATTACAAAACCTGAAGAATGATTTCAATGTGTTTTTTTTATATAGAGAGGTTGTGCGATGTGCTACATATATATAATGGTTTACATACACGATGTAGTGAGATGTGATTGGATCATAATTTTTCTACCAAATTTTTAAAAAAATAAAATAAAAAAATCTCTACTCTATTTTTGACACTCTGTATTGAAACCATTATATAACTCCTTATATATAAGTAGCCTTATTCATATATATAGCCAAAATCTTTTAAAGTAATGTTATTTGTACATAATGATGTACATGATGATGAGTTGGAACACAGAAAGATTATAATAATTGAATTCCTTTTCATTTCGTTTCCTTTTTTTTTTTTTTGTCTCTGTTCCATGCCACCCTTATGTATAAATAGGATTACTGCCTTCAATTAAAAAGTTAGAATTCAATTTTTTTTTTTTAAAAAAAAGTAATTTTATGAGGTTTTTATGATTTCAATTAACCATCCAATGACTGCCCATTCTTGTACAAGCTAGTTTGACCCAAAAAAAAAAAAAAAAAGAAAGAAAGAAAAAACTTAACAAAGAAGCCTGGAAGTCTAATCATGGACTTTTAAATATTTTGAACAGCAGATTTCCCACATAAATTTCAGTATTTCACACTTTTCACCACTCAAACATTTTATAATATATTTTATATATATCTAACACAGTCAACCTATAAAAAAGAAAAACATACAAAAGCATTTAACGTCAATATATTATCTAAAAGCAATTAAAACTCTCGAAAATCTCTCTGTGCAGAGATTTAACTATACAGAAAAGAAACATATAAAAGCATTAACGTAAGGATCGCTGCTCCGGATTAACCAAAAACATTTAAAACTGTACAAAATCTTTGACTAACCTGCTTTCCCAGCTGAACAATAACGTAAGGATCGCTGCTTCGGACATCCCTTTTAGCAAGATTTATGCCTCTCTTTATAGTGATTCTAAGCAAACCCAACGTGTTCTCCATATCAAGATTTTCTTTTTATCCAAGCAAAAAAAAGAGGGAAAAAGAAAAAGCCCACTTAATTAAAACAAAGATTTAAAAAAATTGAACCAAATTTCAATTTAGAATGCTTGTGAAAGACTGAAAATAAACTGAACTAATAATTCTCAATACCAAGATTTTCTTTCTTCCAAGAAAAAACAGCCCACTTAAGGAATTAAACAAAAGAAGAAAATTGGACCAAAATCTAAACACTGAAAATCTAAAGACCAAAATCTATAGACTTTTTGGGTTTCTTGGGTTTAAGAATTTATGAAATGGTTTGGTGGGTTTTAATTTTTATAGTGCGATACAGAAAATGACGACAAATTTTATGGTTAAAAAAATAAAATATTTTATGGGAATTTTAGTGGTAAATGGTCAGACGCTGAATTTGGACTTTCCCAGTTCCATCCGCGGGCACTTTTCCAGTTCTAGAAAAGCTGGAGAATGGGTATTTATTTTATAATTTTTTCTTTCGAATTAATAAATTAATAAGAAATGAAATGTTCAGTTTATATTAATCACATAACATATTTTGTCTTCAAAGTTTCTATATTTTATCTACCAAATGATCAATACGGGAGAAGATTAAAAAAAGGTTGAATAAGTAAATCTTAGATATGTATATAAAAATTGCATAAATATAAAAAAAAAAATTAAGAATGACAAAATGTTCAGCCTTGAATTTGAATGAGAATTATGTGGTCAGTCTTGAAATTAATAGGAACGGAGACCGTAATCATGCTCTTGGCAACAACTATTATATTCTTTTTATGTTTTTAAATGCAATTTTAAAAAGTTAATAAATATTTTAAAAAAAATGTTATAAAATAGGGATACGTTAAAAATAGCGATACCCCTCCTGATAATTTTCAATGGGAAGAGGGACAAGGATTTGTCGTCCCTAATAAACATAATCATGATTGAATGATAGTTCTTGACTTTTTTTAATATCGAAAATATGTTTTGAGTAAAATTTACTTTCATTTAAATTTAAGAATAATAATCATTTTCTTAAGTTGTTAACTTTTTAATTTGGTACTACAAGTTGAATATAAACAATATGCACCCATAAGATTCCTCCAAGGATTGGGACATTTAAAAAAAAGGTATATGTTAAATTATGTTTTCATGTATATTTTTCTTGGGACACTCCATGTGATGGTGTATTTAACAAAGAAAAAGACAATTTCTAATTATTAATTAATTTATTTATTAATTAATAGTATGACTATGACTTTTAATGTATACCACTTTGTTTTTTCGGATAATCGAAAAATGTATTAATGTTAAATTTATTTGGTATGTCCTCTTCAAGGGCTCCATTATTAAATTTTAATTGTGTTGAGTGATCCAATATGTCATGCTTTAGTCATTGTCACATAAATTCATGTTTAAGTATTTATATTCGAGTTCATTTAAAAAAACCATGATTGAATGATAGTTCTAATTTTATTTAATATCGAAATTTCATTTTGAATAAAATTTACTTTCGTTTAAAGATAAGAAAAATAATCATTTTCTTAAGTTGTTAACTTTTTAATTTGGTACTTCCAAGTTGAATATAAACAATATGCACCCATAAGATTCCTCCAAGGATTGGGACATTTAAAAAAAAGGTATATGTTAAATTATGTTTTCATGTATATTTTTCTTGGGACACTCCATGTGATGGTGTATTTAACAAAGAAAAAGACAATTTCTAATTATTAATTAATTTATTTATTAATTAATAGTATGACTATGACTTTTAATGTATACCACTTTGTTTTTTCGGATAATCGAAAAATGTATTAATGTTAAATTTATTTGGTATGTCCTCTTCAAGGGCTCCATTATTAAATTTTAATTGTGTTGAGTGATCCAATAAGTCATGCTTTAATTGTCACAAAAATTCATGTTAAGTGTTTAAATTCGAGTTCATTTAAAAAAAATCAATCTTATCAAGAGAAATAATCAAACATTTTTATGTTGATTTATATTTTGATAAATAGTATGTGTGAGATTTATCCTTGAACATGTCCTGCAAGATGATAGATCGTTTGAGTAGATCAATCTTAAAATTCATGTACTCTTTTGAGACTTTATTGGATTAAATTATTCGTTTGAATTTAATGAAATTTGATATCATATAAAAGACTTGTAGTTTCTTTTTAAAAGATCAACTTTTCAAGATGAGTAATTCAAACACGTATATATTAGCCTTTCCCAATGCTAAGCATGAAAGACTTCGAGCCTTAAAACCTGAATTAAGCCCTAGGTAGATCCATATTCTTCTCAAATTCATTTTTTTCAAAGCTCATTTTCAACAACACATTTTTCAATAAATTAATATTACAATCAAATTCAAATTTTTTTCTTATTTTTTAACCACATATTTTCCATCACAACACACGAATTCTTTTCTCAATAATGTGCATTAAACGTCCCCTAAATAACGTCTTTGAATATAACAAAGTAGACGAATATAAAATAGAGTAACGTAGGTTAAAATTGACCAAATGAGCACTCATTAGTCAACACGTCTTCTGGATGGATAGACCTTAATAGACCTTACTCGTGATAATATAAAAGAGTTCAACTTTGCCGGCTCCGAACTCTTAACTCCAATAATAATTTTTATAATTTTATCGACTATTTTACTTCAATTTATTTGCATGTTACGGTTGTCTTTTTGCATGAATTTCAGTATCAATTGTTGTGTCTCGAGGTGTAAAGTTGAATAGGTTATCTAGCAAGTTGACTAACACAGTAACACGGTTAAAAACAAACGTTGGTCGGTGAAATTATTACTCTTTTGAATAGTGAACTGGCCGGATGATGCAGCATGGTCGTCAAAAGTTGTCTGGACCAAAAGCATTCTTCATGGGCGACGACGGAACTAGAATTTTGGGTCAGCACAGACGATTGTGCATCATCGATCATTGTCAAAAATAAAACATTAAGAGCCCCGTTTAATGTCCATTTTTTTTTACAAAAAGTGCATTTTGGAATAGTGATTTGATTAAAAATATGTGGTTAAAAATAAGGAAAAATTTTGAATTTGAATGTAATATTATTTTATTGAAAAATGTGAGGTTGAAAGAAGAAAGAACAATGTATTTTGAAAAAAAAAAAAAGAATTAAACAATGCCTAAAATTTAAATATAACAATTATTTTGTTGAAACTGAACATATATAATTTTGCTGTAAAAACGAGCAATATTCATCAAATGATATTGTAGTCAAGTTTTGTATAATTCAAATAAGAAATCATGTTCAAATTTTTAGGATTGCATTAAACCCGCTAAAATGTAACATATATTCTGGTAAATTTAGTATCAAATTTAAGGAGTGCCACAATAATCAAACTCTCAATATCCTAAGGAGAGGTTGGAGTTTTGAATCTCCTCTATTTATCCCGTTTAATTTTAGTAAAAATTAAAGAATTAAAAATCTTTCCCAATAAAAGTGGTGGGAAAGGATTCGAATCAGAGACTTCGTACATGAATATAATAGCTCTGTCTAGCTGAGCTACAAGAATGTTTGAAATAAATCAAATTATCAGGTATATAATCTAAAAAATTTATTCATTGTTAAAAAAAAAAAATTGTTCCCGACAGATTTAGCACTAGCAGCAGTTGAGGCTCGTCCGATGTTGGATCTGCCACTGTTCCTGTGGTTATTTTCACCAAATGTGAAATTAAACTCGTGTGTTGACAAACTTTACATCTCGTAGATCGTTTCATCAAATGACTTACATGTTAGTTTCACCTTAGTAAATGGAACCTATTGTTAACTTTAGTGACCCATTTAAAATAAAATTGAATTTATCGAACTTATGGTTCCTTTAGGAAAAAATTATAAATAAATAGAAAAGAATGATAATTAAGTGAATAATACTCATAGATTCATTGAAATATACGGCTAACTGACTGAAGTTTAACTATTTATGTTCATTTATGAATTTTACCAAATGTAATAGTATTTAAATCTTTAAAAAGAAATTCTTGAAGAATTTAACCCATTATCCCTTTTTTTTTTTGGAATGGTAGGTAGACTACGACTTGTATTGTTACTTGGAAATGAAGGAAAGTAAGTTAGAGAAACACATCAATGTGAATTATGCGAAATAAAAAAAGAATTTTGAATATTTTCATGATAATTTCATCTGAGTTTATCTCTAAATTTCCAAATAAAACCAAAGAGTCAAATATGACAACTTGTAAGAAAACCGGCCAGAAAAAAGAAATCAAAAGTTAAGAAACTTCCAAATAATATATTTTTTCTTCTTCTATACATACAAATGTTTATGTGTTCCACGAGCATATTTGGTTCTTTTTCATCGATTAAATGTGTACATGAACACACACGAGCAACACGAATCGTTATTCTAAAGTCAAAGTTCAATTGGATTTATTCTCATGCAGTAAATTGCAATAAATGATATAATAAATTAATTTAATTTTTTTTTTCTTTTCTTTGATACTGAGGATGGTTATCTAATCAAACTTATTAACATGACATGAGAAAATATTATCTTTAATTGAATATATCTAATTTGTATCCGTTTCTAGATACCGTTATTCTTGTCATATAGATTTCTGTGAAGTTTTATTTTCCAAAATCCTATACATTATCCAAGTCTGTGTGTGATATGCTATAGTCATAAACATCGACCCAAACATTGATTTAGACAAGATTTATTGAGTCACTCATTTAATCGTTGGATTGGCGGTTTAAATGTCAGGTAAGTTCCAATTTTAATTTACCAACTATTTTTCCGATCTAGATAGAAACGTTAGCAACAATTATATGTAAAATAATAAATTTCACGAACTTCTTATAGCAAAAAAAGTTACCAAATATAAAGTTAAAATGAAAAACCATTTTATTACTCAGAACAATTTAGTTGTAATAATTAGCTCAACAACTATACTGATGTCCAAGACTCTAATTCTTACAATCATGCAGGGGTGTTAAGTAGGTCGAGCCAAACTGTTTGGTCCATCCACTGTCGGGCTCGACTCCCCCACCTAGCGAGCCTGATCACGCTCGCAAATGAGATCAACCGAGTATGAGCTGGCTTGTTTCTAAAATTTATTTCAACTTGGGTCCCCACCAACTTGTCTCATTGCAGCATGAAGTGTCCAACGACAATAATAAAGAGATGGTTCATGCTGCAGTTGGAGCAAGATCAAAGCAGAAATAGGAAAATGGTTAGTCCTTCATTTTGTACAAATAGTGAAAATTAGCTTGTAATTATTGATAGTTAATTTTCCTGTTAAAACTTCAGCTGAGGTGTTTCTTTTTCGTTTTATTCTTCTTGATGAGGTGTATAGTGGGAGGCAAATGCATGTGCAGCTAGTTGCTAGTTGGAAGTTTATTATTTCCATTTCGTATATATATTGTGGTTCTTGTTTGTACTCAATCATTCAATTAAAATGAAAGGCAGATAAAATTATATTTTGCACTTCTTCTTTTTCCTCTGTTTTTCATTTATTCATTACAAATTTTTACATGGTATCAGATAAAGGTTGAGAAATAATCAACAATGGGTGATAATTTACCTGAAAAATCGTCATCTGAAAGTGAATCCACTCCCCAGTCGCCTAGAACCAACCTTCCTTCTCGTTTCCTTAATTTCGGTGATATCACCAACTCCTATAGGTTGGAGAATGGCGATAACCCTGCTTAGTAACTGACCTTTTAACCACAGAGAACTATGTATCTTGGTCTAGAGCAATGACAAGACTCTTAGAGCCAAGAATAAACTGGGTTTCATCAATGGAGAATACACTAAGCATGCTGATCTAAATAACTCTCTTTATGATTGAAGAAATTGTTCTTTTCCTTTTCTTATACTCACGTGGTTACTACCTTTAGTTAGTTAATTAGTTTTGCCAGGTGTCCCTTTTCCATTGCTCAGTTTTTAGTATAAA